AAACCAACAAAATGAAATTAAATCATGTGTAACATTTGCATGCATCAAGATGATGTAAAGGTCCAATTCAGAGCATCATCGTCTCCAAAACAATGGATTTTTATTCCATATCAGTGTAGCTGATCATCCAAGAATACTTCTCCACATTAATTGTTATAAAAACTTCAGATTTTATAACAAAATAAAACTCAGTTCCATTTGATATTTGGCAACTGCCTACCTTACATCACCAGAGGCAGGTTTTGCAGTAACACTTTGTTCAATGTGTGCTGTTTTAATTTTCATAATTTTGTGTAAGTATCATAAAACATTCAAATTTGTTATGTTTCCTGTGAAGAAATATCATTTGGGACATATTGCTGTGTAGTCCGTTGAAAATCAACTGATATTTTGAGAAACATATCACCTCCATCTTCCCGACCCTGAAAATCAAGGCAATATGTTCCTCCAAAACTGGTTGACTTTCAATGGACTGCACAGCATTATGTCCCAGGAGATAGAACTCTTCATAACGAATGCTGTGAGAACTTCAAATTGTACATAGTTTTAAATTTATTTTTTTAAGTTTTAGGTGGGTTCCTGTCACCACGCCATGGCGCGTCCTCAGGTTGCAGATGGAGGAGACGCCCTCCAGTTTTGGAGGGAAGCTGTGAATATATTGAATAAGCAGTCGCGGACAGCCGACAAGGGGTGGCCCTCCAGCTTGGGGGTTGGGCGTGGGGCTAACAACTCCTCACCATAAAAAATCATTATGTTATGAAAATGAACACAAAGCCTCGGATCTGGATGGATTCCTTGGATAAACGACCTAATCTAATGAAAATGGATATGAGATTTGACACTTGGAATGTACGAAGTTTGTATAGGGCAGGTTTGCTCAGGGCAGTGGCAGAAGAAATCTTAAAATATAAGTTAGATTTAGCAGGAGTACAGGAGGTCAGATGGGATGGAGGTGGCATCACGCCAGCTGGAGACTATACATTTTTCTATGGAAAGGGGAATGAAAATCATTAATTAGATACAGGTTTTTTCGTACATAAGAGAATCATATCAGCAGTTAAGAGGGTAGAATTCGTTAGTGATAGGATATCATATATCATACTAAAGGGTCGCTGGTGTGATATCGTTGTTATGAATGTTCACGACCCAACAGTAGATAAAATTGATGACATAAAGGATAGATTCTATGAAGAACTAGAACATGTATTTGATAAATTCCCAAAGTACCCTGTGAAAATTGTGTTAGGAGATTTCAGTGCCAAAGTAGGGAGGGAAGACATTTTCAAACCAATAATTGGGAATTAGAGTTTGCATGAAATTAGTAATGATAATGGAGTTAGAGTTGTAAACTTTGCCACATCAAAAAATCGTACTGTCAAAAGTACAATGTTCCCACATCATAACATCCATAAATTTACTTGGACATCTCCTGATGGGAAGATACACAATAAAATAGACAATATTTTGATAGATAGGAGACGGCACTCAAGCATACTTGATGTCCGATCATTCAGGGCAGCAGATTGTGATACTGACCACTACCTGGTGGTGGCAAAGGTTAGGGAAAGACTGGCAGTGAGCAAACAAACAACACACAGAGTTCATACGGAGAGGTTCAATGTCAAGAAATTAAATGAGATAGAAGGTAAAGAGCAGTATCGTGTAGAAATCTCAAATAGGTTTGCAGCTTTGGAAAACTTGGAAACTGAGGTGGATGTTAATAAAGCTTGGGAAACTATTAGAGAGCATATAAAAATGTCTGCCAAAGAGAGTCTAGGTTATTATGAACTGAAGAATGCTCAAAATTATTAGATCATAGAAAGCAGGCCAAATTGCAGTGGTTACAGAATCCAAGCGAGTTAAATGGGGATAATCTAAACAATATAAGACATGAAACCAGCAGGCATTTCAGGAACAAAAAGAGGGAATATCTGAAAGACAAAATTGATGAGCTTGCAGCGAACAGTAAGAACAAGAATATTAGAGACCTGTATAGAGGAATAAATGACTTTAAAAGGAGTTATTAGCCTAGCAGTAACTTAGTGAAGGATGAGAATGGTGATCTGCCTGCAGATTCCCACAACATTTTGGATAGGTGGAGGAACTACTTCTCTCAGTTATTGAATGTACATAGGGTCAGTGATGTTAGGCAGACAGAAATCGATACAGCTGAGCCATTAATACCTGATCCTAGCCCTTTTGATGTTGAAAGTGTTATTGCAAAATTGAAATGGTATAAATCGCCAGGTAGTGATCAAATTCCGGCAGAACTGATTCAAACAAGAGGTAAAATATTATGTTCTAAGATCCATAAGCTAATTAACTCTATTTGAAATAAGGAAAAATTGTTTGATCAGTGGAAGGAGTCTATTATTGTACCAGTCAAAAGAAGGGTGCTATAACTGACTGTAGTAATTATCACGGGATATCACTGCTATCAACTTCATACAAAATTTTAGCCAATTTTCTTCTCTCAAGGTTAAGTCCATGCATAGATTAAATTATTGGGGATCATCTGTGTGGATTCTGATGTAACAGATCAACTATTGATCAGATCTTTTGCAGTCATCAGATACTGGAGAAAAAGAGGGAGTACAATGAGACAGTACATCAACTATTCATAGACTTCAAGAAAGCCTACGATTCAGTTAGGAGGGAAGTATTGTACAATATTCTGATAGAGTTTGGGAAACCCATGAAACTAGTTAGGATGATTAAAATGTGTTTAAACGAAACGTATAGTAAAGTCCGTGTAGGCAAACATTTGTCTGATAAATTTCCTATCCAGAATGGTCTAAAACAAGGAGATGCTTTATCAACACTCCTTTTCAACTTTGCCTTAGAATATGCAATTAGGAATGTCCAGGGAAACCACGTGGGACTGAAATTAAACGGGACACATCAGCTGTTTGTCTACGCCAATGATGTGAATCTACTGGGTGACAATGCAGATACCATAAAGAAAAACATACAGACTTTAAGTGATGCAAGTAAAGAGGTTGTTCTAGAAGTAAACACAGAGAAAACTAAGTATATGTTACCGTCTTGTCACCAAAATGCAGGGCAAAATCATGACATAAAGATAGGAAACAGATGTTTTGAAAATGTGGCACAGTTCAGATATTTGAGAACAACGATAACAGATTGAAACCTGATTCAGGAGGAAATTAAGAGGCAATTGAACTCAGGTAATGCTTGCTACCATTCAGTCCAAAACCTTTTGTCTTCTCCTCTGTTGTCCAAAAACATAAAAATTAGAATATACAAAACTATAATTTTGCCTGTCATTCTGTATGGGTGTGAAACTTGGATTCTGACATTAAGGGAGGAACATAGAGTGAGGGTGTTGAGGAAAATATTTGGACCAAAGAGAGATGAAGTCACAGGAAGTTGAAGAAAACTGCATAATGAGGAAATTTCATAACTTGTACTCTTCTCCAAGTATAATTAGAACGATCAAGTCAAGGATGATGGGGTGGGCAGGTCATGTAGCACGAATGGGGGAGACGAGGAATGCGTATAGGATATTGGTGGGAAAGCCAGAAGGAAAGAGCCCAGAGGTAAGACCAAGGCATAGGTGGGTGGACAATATTAGAATGGATCTTAGAGAGATAGAATGGGATGGTATGGATCAGATAGATCTGGCTCAGGATAGGGACCAGTAGAGGGCTCTTGTGAACACGGTGGTGAACCTTCGGGTTACATAAAAAGGCTGGGATATTCTTGAGTAGCTGCAGAATTGGCGGCTCCTCCAGAAAGGCTCAGCTCCATGAGTAAGTAAGTAAGTTCTTTTTTTTAATTTCTTGTTATGTTGTTTGCTACTTGAATCGCAGCAAGCTGGAGTTAAATAGGTATATCAGTGGATATTCATTTAAGGGTTTCTTATAAGTTACTGTTAAGTTTTTTGTAATTCTGGCTAATGAGATACCGAAGAGAGATGAAGTGACAGGAGGTTGGAGAAAACTGCATAATGAGGAGCTTCATAACTTGTACTCTTCTCCAAGTATAATTAGAATGATCAAGTTAAGGAGGTTGAGGTGGGCAGGGCATGTAGCATGAATGGGGGAGGAAAGGAATGCGTATAGGATATTGGTGGGAAATCCAGAAGGAAAGAGACCACTGGGAAGACCAAGGGTGGACAATATTAAAATGGATCCTAGAGAGATAGGATGGGACTGTATGGATTGGATTGATCTGGCTCGGGATAGGGACTAGTTGAGGGCTCTTGTAAACACGGTAATGAACCTTTGGGGTCATTAAAGTGCTGGGATTTAGCTTCTCGGCTCAGCTCTTATAAAATACGTATGTTTTCCTGAGTTGACGTTTTTAGTGTTCACGGTCGAGAAACCGTGACCTAATGGACCCCAGTGGGCTACAGTGTTTAAAAGAATATATCAATGACATGGTTATTTGTGGAAGCCGCAGCTGACAATGGGAATTATCATATTTTCCCTTTGAATTTTCAAGTGGTATTCCACTAGTATTAGGACGATGATTAATGTGTTACTAATGCTTTCTCAATTGAAATTACGAGGTGTAGGAATAGTACTACTAACCGCCAATAACAGCCCGGGTTATACCAATTACGACCAGTCAACTGTGTGGTAAAACTGACAGAGAATTTAAAACATTGAAACTATGTAGTTTAACCGTGGGGTGAAATCTATTTAAGTGTTAGAAAGACTAATGGAAAATTATTGCGTTGCAAAATAGCGGGTATTGAAAGGTCGATCATTTTTCTTTAGTACCGGAAGGTCGCGGGTTCAGGTCCCGATGAGATCATCGGATTTTTTTTCAGTTGAACTAATCCTTCCAGCCTCTAACAGAAATGAGTACCAGGAATTAACTAAATAATTTTCCTGTGGAGTAAAGCGCGTAAGGCAGACAACCTTATCGTCGTCTTTGAGCTGATCCGGTCTAGACAGTGTGGGACCCTCGTCTTACAACCTTACGGACTTTCACGGCCTGGTACAGGGATAGCTTTATTTTTTTTTATGTGATATATTTAGCTGTTGGAAGTGGGATGCGTTATGTGTTAACGTGACGTAAAACAGAGTCCATTCTGCAGGAAAGATTAGATCTTATATTTTGTTTTATTTGTGTTATTTCCAGCCTAGATTATATGAGAATTCGTTTCTTTTGTGTTATTTCCAGCTCAGATTTTATGAAAAACGAGTTTCGTGTTAAAAGTAGAAAGTGAAATTCGTGCCCCTAATCATGACGTTTTCTTTGGGTTTTTGTGCAGTTATAAATTCTGGGAAAGTAGTTGGAAAAAGCATGTGTTACGAGGTTGTACAGGTTATTTGTTTTGTTTGTTTCTAGTTGTTTCAGAGACTTTCAGTATCTCAGACCATATAATGCCGATGTGCAGGTTATACATATAACTTTTTCTCATGTGGGTTTAAAATTACAGCTATGTAAATGAAATGAGTAGTACCTAATTCAACTATTACTACCGAACCAGTCGAAGAGAATGCGGTACTGGAAATTATTGCACGAATTGATGTTATCTTGTGGTCTGACTGTAACATGCAGAGTACAGAGTAGAAAGGTGATTTGGAAAGCGTTGTGACGGTAGTTGAAGTGGGGAAGTAGGCCGCAAATCATCGTGTATCCTTTTGTCGTTGCTGTCAAATGCATTGCAGCCGTGGAAACCTTAACCTTGACCATACGAATGGTGAAAGCATAGCTTGGAATAGTGAAGTCTAAAAACCGTGTGCGAGTTTGGAATAATCATGGCCATAAGAACAGAGGAGAGAAGCTCGCTAGAGTTCGTCTTTAAATCCCTTTTTGCGGGAGGTAAGTGTGATGAATTTGTTACTGATATACAGAAAATTCCGTAATGAATAATCCAGGCAATGTCATTGATCCCTTTGCAACCAAAATGGTGTCATTAACCTTATGTAATTATTATTTTTGACATTATTTTAGGAAGTGCAGTAGTCTTTGATGGTGTTTGTACTGCTAAACTATTACCCAAGGAAGAGTATTTTTTTCCTCCCCCACCCCACATATCAGCTTTGTTAGGATAAGCTTCAGTTATGAGATTTGAGAAATAACTGAACTTATCCTGGAGTAGAAACTTGTTCACTAACCTTCAGTGCAGGATACAGCTATATGACCCATATGTTAAATGTGACCTGTGATGAAATCAGCCTGGCTATGGCCAGTATTTAGATGCTGTTAAGGATAGAACGCTCTGTTAATTTGGGGAACAAGAAAATACTTAATATTTGCAATCAAAATACATTGGACAACACATTTTCTTGGAAGACTCATATAGATACAGTTGCACCCAAACTAAGTTCAGCTTGTTTTGCGATTAGAACAATTCTTGTCCCAGGAATAATTAAATATTATTCCATAAATCATGATAGAGTGAAACTAGGAAACTATGTGTGAAATACACACATACCCAGCAGTATAACACACGCAGTCACAGGAGCAAGACACAACATAAAGAACAATACACACAAGATAATAGAAAGAGTGCTCCGACAGAAGAGATTAGAGGTGACTCGAGAAGTGAGATACGACGTAGGAAAAATCCTGAACATTTTTAATATTTATCAGTATATATGATAAATATTTATTTTAATATGAAGACAAGGCATGCAGTGAACTAGTTTAACGTAGTGCGGGAGAAAGGAGTGAGGTAGATAAGTGTATGCACTAAAAGACGGTGAAATAAATCATGGACTTAAATCAGTGCAACAGGACGCTAAAATATAACATTAACACTGGTATTATTACCTAGACTATGAGTATTAGAATCAAATTGTAGAACTAAAGAAAATTTGAAGGAAAGCAGTCATCTGATTGAGGTACTATCCTGGAATTTGCCCAAGAAACCACAGTCAGGATAGCCATTGTCCCAGCTTAGATTCATGCTGACCACCACCCAATAAATTCTAGAGTGATACCACTACACCAACCTGCTCAGTGACATGTTTTGTAAACATTCCAGTCCGTGAACTGCTTTCCACAGCATTTCTGATATAGTTGGTCATTGTGACTGTAATCTTCCACTCTTAATTTCCTCATACAATAGAAGAATTAACAAGTGGAAGTCAGAAGTCATTAATGGTGCTGTTGATGAATATATATTGGTTGCAGTAGTCCATTGTTTTGTTTGTTTTTTAAGTGACGGAAATTGACAGTTCACACATTAAAGACTTTTTCATCTAAGAAAAATGTCCACAGCCATTTCTATATATTGACGTCATCCCAAATTTTGCAGTATGAATATTTAAATGTTTATTGTTCATTTGCAGGGACTCTGCTTTATGGTATGTCCAAATTATGTTCACTCAGTGTAAATAATTGATAATTATTTAAGAGTTTTTGTAACTGCAGATTTTTCTTGTGAAATTACTTGAATTGCAATCTCTTTGGAATAGATTCATCAGGCTCCAAACAAAAAATTATTCACCCATTCCTGCTTTACTTGTCCCCTGCCCTTATATGTGTATTTCATTTTCTCTTCCATTCCTAGAAACATTGATGTTTTATAGAGCGATAATCTTGTCTTCTTTAAATTGTAATGTAAGACAGTTACTCACATAAAAAGATTTATAACTGAAATATTCCTGTAATGAATAAAAAGAATGTAAATGTAAAAATTGTTTTAATTGTACCTCAGAACTCATTGTGTCACTTGATATATCCTTAACATGTTGTGGTAGATTATTATAGACTTTTGTTCCTAAACAATAAACTCCCCTTTGGTATTTACTCAAATTTACAAGAGGTTTATGGACATTATTTAGATGTCTGGTATTTTTTCTATGAATCTCTGAATTTACTATGAATTTGTTTCTGTTTTTTATCACAAAGAGCATAAGAGATAGTATGTTCTGAGATGCCAGAGGTAAGATTTCTAATTCTCTAAATAAGATTGTGCACGAATCCCTCCTGCATCCCAACATAATTCTAATTATATTCTTTTGCATTCTAAAAATTTTTATACTTTGGGGTGAGTTACTCTAAAAGGGTAAACCATAATTTATAATAGAATTAAAATAAGAGTGATAAAAGGTATTTATGGATGTGTATGGTTTAAGCGATCTTATTATGTAGCAGACTACACTTAGTTTTGAACTGATATATTCAGCGTAGTATTTCCAGTTCATTTTATCATCAATGAATGTTCCAAGAAATGTAATATTGGATATAGATGTAATTTGTTTTTTATCATATACAATTTTTATTTCAGATTTAGGATTATTATTTCTAGCTGTAAATTGAATGTAGTGGGTTTCGTTAAAATTTATAGAAAGTTGGTTTACTTTGAACCATTCATTTATACTATGAAAAGCATTGTTTATATTCACACAGAGATCATCATAGTTTGAACTTTTAACTAACAAACTAGTATCATGTGCAAATAATATAGGTACAGTTTTATCATTTATAGTTTTGAATAAATTGTTCATATAAATGAGAAATAGCAGTGTGAACAGTGATTTTTCTTCATTATCCCCAGCCTGTTAACTTAAACATAAAGATGGCTTTTCTGTGTATAGAAATGTACAGGCTACCTTTATTTTGGTTGGTTTGAAGCCTGCTACATGTGTTAACACATTTGCTTGATGTTGGAGAATGCCTGGGGGGGTTGGCATTGGCATGTGTGTGTTAAGAATTCTGAAATCTGTTATATACTGTTTTGCAATATATGAAGTTTCTAGTGTGAAGAAGTGTTATGCAATGACATTGAGACATTTTGCAGGCTTTGTTCACGGTTATCTCACTTCTGTTTATCCTTATCATAATGGTTAGCAAGGTGAGCCACCCTATTGTCAGAACTAAGGAGTGTCAGATGTGTATTGCTCCTCTCTTTTCTTCCAGTGAATTGGTGTGCTCCAAATATTGCTGAGAGGGCGCAGAGGGCTTGTAAACCCCCACTTCAGTTATCCTTATGCCAAAAGTTAACTGTAGGGGAGGCCCTTGAAATCCCCCACTCCCTTCCTTTCCAACATTTGAAGTACTCCACCTTATTTCTGTATTTTTCTGCCTCCTTTCTGCCTGCTTGGTCATTGTTTATGAAAGAGAAACTTGCTGTGATTCAGATTATTCTGCATATGTCACTACATGACTCTCTCTCCCTCTTTTATGCCCATTATCTTTTATAGTTATAAGGTCCCATAGGACTATCAACTTTAACCTCACCAGCACAGATTTTTTCTTTGTCTGCCCTGCTTTTGCACAGTCCTTAACTGCCAACTCCAGTTTGTCTCTCTCCAAGGAAACATGATGGTCAAATGCAGTCTTCCTAACCACTACAAGGTATAGGTCTCTTATCATGTAAACTCCATTTGTATTACTTGAAGTCTGGCATGTTGATGTTTTCATAATGGGCACTTTATGTTGGGATGGTAGGTGCATGGTGATAGATTACTGTTGATAAAGTTGGTTTACTGCCAGTAAGAAATGTATATACGAGGGTTGGAACTTTAATAGTGGCAACACTGCTGTAGAGACGCCATGTGATGGAAACAAATAATATCGCTTATACCACATGTTAGTTACATACCTACATTACCTCAGAGCAAATGGACTCTCCCTTCCCACATCACGCGCATGCACAGTGACGAGAAGAACAGAGCCTCGTGTTAGCTGGCGGTCTAATGTAGTGTTGTCACGATGTTTTCAAAACAGGAACAACAAAGTTGGATAACGATTAAATGTGCCAGAGGCCGTACAGCATGACAGTGTCATCAAGGTCTTCAAGAGGCTTGCAGGGAATCTGCATTGCCTTACAGAACAGTGGCAAGGTGGGTAAAAGCCTTCAACGAGAGACGCCAAAATGTGGCAGACATGCGTCGGCCAGGTCATCCTAGTGTCAGTGAAGAAGAAGTGTATGCTCTTTCCACGTTACTGGAGAGTGATCGACACCATACAATTCGTGAGCAGGCCTGAGAGTCAGGATTAGCGCATACAACTGTGCTTCACGTTCTGAAAGAACACCTGGGCATGAGAAAAATTGCATCATGATGGGTTCCGCATAATTTTACGGAAATGCAGAAATGACTATGATACAACGCTGCTCGTAACCACTTGGAGAGCTATGAGTGTGAAGGAGAGGCTTTGTTACACTGGATGAGACATGGGCCAAATCATATGAGCCACAAATGAAACGCCAATTGAACGAATGGCGTCATTACAGTTCACCACGAAAATCAAAAGTTTGTCAGAACCCCAGCAATGTGAAAGTTATGGTGATTCTCGTGTACGACTGTGATGGTGTTATCCTAACGCATACCGTTCCCCGACAGGAGACCATCAATGCACGGTATTACTGTTCATTTTTGGAACACAACCTGCGACCAGCTTTGAGAAAGAAGCGACGACACTTTCTGCAGAACCCACCCATCATTTTGCAGGACAGTGCTCGGCCGCATGCAGCGCAAGGTGTGGCTGATTTGTTCAGTCGATGGGGCTGGGAAGTGCTGTACCATCCATCATACTCCCCGGACTTCCCTTGTCACTTTGATTTGATTCCTAAGCTGAAGGAACCAGTAGACTGCTCCATTTGAACTATCAACACAACAGGCGCTGCTAAAGGTATCCTACGACTTCCACATCGCTGGCAGCAGGTTGTACACAATGCTGGTGACTACATTGAAGGACAGTAAAACTTTCAAACATGAATCTATTTTGTATCAGTTTTAAATAAATAGTTGCCACTATTAAAGTTCCAACCCTTGTATAATCAGCCACTGCTCCTTTGAGGTCTGCAGGAGTTAGAAGTTTTGGTCAGTTTGTATCCATTGTAGGACAATAAACTCATTCTTGCAAGAGATATAGGACCTTGCTTTTAACGCCATTGATATATATGGAGGATGTTTTCTTTTTTAAGTAATTTTAAGTACTAACCAAAAAAGCGCTCAGGTTTCTTGTTTCATGTCTCTCTAATGACAAGCGGATGCTAATGGTTTTGGGAAGGGAGACTATAATCATGGCTTTTTCAGTCCTTCCTATTTCTAATGATGAACAAGCTAAATGTCTGGAGGCTGATTATAATTGAGAAAGAGAATGTGGCTTGGGAGTGTAACTTCATACTCCACATTTATGTATCAGAGAGGAAGTGTCTTTCAAAGAAATTAGGCCTTTTCATGTTCAGAAGGCTTTGCACGTATGAAAAATTTGTCTGACTGTACAATGCAAGTTGAAATATTGTTTCTGAATTGGTCTCTTTCATGATTACCATTGCATGTAGTATGTGACAAGTCTTATGATTTTAACAACAGAATTATGAAAAGTGGTATTTAAACATAATTTCTCTGATCAGTTTGTGTCATGTTTTGAACATTGTCTTGATTTAAAAGTATGTCTAAAGTATAGTTTCTAAATATTTTCTCTTAAAAGTAACTATTAATAACTTGGTTTTATTAACATTTGTATTTTGTACTATGCAAAATTGAATCTAAGAAATGTAAGCCAGATACAAAGAATTTTAATTTTCTGTGTATTTCACACACCCTTATATCCTGTATTTATTAATTTATTTATTCCTGCTCACCAGGATACTTATTTATCAGTAATTGTAGTTACATTTGTGAAATATGGTGTTGTGTAGCATTAAAAAAAATTGTTGTGAATACTGAAATCCTGTGTGTGCTAATGTATAGAAGGTTGGTTCCAGTATGAAATGAAAATTAATTTGAACTTTGAACTGTTGCTATTGTAAATCTGCAAACAGTGCGTGGTGAAGGGCATCAGTACAATGACAAGTTCATGCCAAGAGAGATTGTTACTGATTGCTGTTTTTAACTGAACTGTGCAGGTTATCGTTTGTGGAGGCTAAAAACGAACACAGCTTAATAATAGTAATCACTGGGTAATCTGTTTTATGATTATGTTACTGATTGCTGTTTTCAACTGAATTATACTTCAACCAGTGCAGGTTAATGTTTGTGGAGGCTAAAAATGAACACAGCATAATACTAGTAATCAGTGGATAATCTGTTCTTTGATTAGGAGAACTGTACAAACTTTCCAAAATTAGATACAGTACTATGCCCTTATAAAATAAGGGAACATGTCTTGAAGGCATTTAGTGAGTGTATGCATTCTTGATCTCAGGGATAGGATGATGAACAGTCAGCTTAAAGCTTAGGCTACGTTTACTCATGAATAAGTACACCTTTTTTACATATTGGATGGGTGGCTGGTTGGGCCTTGACACCATGAAAAGAAATTATAAATTAAATCCCAGGTGCCCAGTCTTGATGGGTTCTTATTCCCGGAAGTTATGATGGGAATTTTTATGTTTCTTTTTATAATCATTAGTTGAACGATCTGCTTAACCTCGGAAGAGGTTAAATCAGAATTTGGTGCATTATTGTTTACTGCCTCAGTTTGTAGTTCTGCAAAGAGAGTGAGGGGAGTGTGAAAGCAGAGTCAAGCTGTGGCTCACAATGCAAACTGTAGGGATACATCATTCAGTTGTGAAGGATTGTCAGAATATTTTTTTCTCTTTTTAATGCTGGAAATTGGCTGAAATGCTGAACTCAGTACAGGGTATCCTACTGGTAGCAAATTGAGTGTCAACATTAGAAGAAAACTGGGAAACATTGGTATAGAACGTGATCTGGAGGTAGAGATAAAAAAAGAAGGCATGACCCAGCTTCTGTCCATATATTCTGCAGGCAGCTAACCTTTCATTTAAATGTAAGATGTAAAATTAAATCCTGTGGTATATAAGTTGTTGAAAAGTTTCATCCTTTATAACAAGGTTCATAATGAAATCGTTAGAAGAATAAGTTCCAGATTATACCTATAGGTCCATTAGAACAGGAAGTGGAAATGATTGGAATATGATTTAATACATTTTGAAATTATTGTACATGCCATCATTTAAATTCAGAGAACTGAAATAAAATCTGTGGAATATTAGGGTTGTGAAAACATATTGCGAGAACCAGTTATTTATGCGTGAAAAGTGTTGCTAGTGAACAAATCAAATGCCCACAAGCAAACTGGGCAGGAGCTGTACCAGCTGAGCTATTCAAGTAAAACAGTGGATGATGTTGTATTTTAGCGCTAAAAGACGGACATTGCTTACATATCATGGACGAAAACAGTGGATTCTAAAAGGTTCTGATGATGGTGTATAACACTCAGAATTGCTGGGTTTTTTGGACTTTTTCCATCATCCAGTATTCTAGAAAACAGAAGACACAGCATCCTCAAGTGAGGTCGGAAACAGATCCAGTTTCTGAAACATCATGTTTTCTATTTTCTAGAATACTGGACAACAGGAAAAGTCCAGAAACCCAAGTAATTCTGAGTGTAATGGAATGGACGCTTCTATTCACATGGCAGTTTAATTCTCTCATTGGTGTAAATGTAATGGTGATAATTATGTTACAGGATATCTTGTATGGTTTAGTATCTTACAGGTAAAGAGAAATTGTCCCCTAAACAAAGCCAATACTGGGTTGTCTGTAAGTTAAAATGGGTACATATGTTCATTAGAACGGATTTAAAGTTACAAGTTTAAATCATGTTTTATAAACGAATTCTTAAGTTTACAATTAATGTGTGTATTCTTTTAGTTTTAAGTTACAGGTTACTGATTTTATTTTTATCTGTCTTAAATTTTACCTCGTACACAACACAGTTGAAAGACGTCACAGTATATTAAATATTCACGGTTTGGCTTTTTTCTTGTAACGAGCATTGTGCCCGTTTGAAGGGTTAATCTTATCAAGTTTTTCGTTTTTTCAGGGGTTGCCGGAATGTGCTCCAAGACTGCAGTAGCTCCACTAGATAGAATAAAAATTTTACTTCAAGCCCATAACAAGCACTACAAACATTTAGGTAATTTTTATCTTATTATATACATACCGGCTCAGCTACATGAAGTTAGTTGCTTTGTTAGTTGTATTCATAATGTCATGTGTATGTGTGACTATAGACAGGGTTTTGGATTGGAGATTGGATTTGTTGACCACTTTAACACAATTATAGCACCATCACTGATCTGCACACTTTACAAATCACTAGGACATACAGACTTTGAGTATGTTACAGTTTCCACTAGTTGTTTCCTGGTAAGGACTGACTCAGTGGTTATTCCTCTACTTCCATACTGAAATCTTCTATGGATTGTGGCTCCCTTCCAACTAAACTGACTCAAAAAGTTACTTTAAGACTAACAGTTTACCACCAGTCAGTTAATCTTGGTGCCAAGCCCCTTGAGACCCATGACCAGAGATATTTTTTGTCGACTGAACTCTTGCAGCTATATTCCTTATGTAACGTACACTCTGATGACAAGATGGGTTTGTCTTTTATGAATATGCATGGCCTTTCATCAAGTATACATATCACACATATAGCATGTTATCGAAAATTCTTCCTTTTTGCTTTCGGTAAAGGCTTTGCAGAGCAGATCATGCTGATCTTACATATCTTATGCTACAATGGCAGCTTGGTCACTTATACAGTTGTAAGCTTACCCACTGTCTAATTTAAGGCTCCTATGTTTTCTATGTCTCGCTTTGCCTTGTTCTATACTGTGGATATGTTTGTTCTCATGATTTTTGTATGACTTCTGCTTGTTGCCTGCACAATTTTCTTATATAATCATACACATAGGGAAGGTTGAAAGCCATGTGCAAATTGCGGACTGGTTTGCACCTTGGAAAATTTCCAATGGTACAGAGAACCTTGTTTTGTAGGTGCTGCAATTTTAAAAGGTAGGTGTATGCTACTAATTCTCAGGCAGGAAAAGCATACGTCATTACTGATCTGATCAGTGCCTTATGGAGAGTTAGTTTAATGTTGGCCCGTAAACACTCACTTTTGAATAGGGAATAGATTCTAATAAATGTTCTGAAGTCCTTGGCTTCAGTCATCTCTACGTGCAGTTTTCATGTAATCCTCTTATTGAATTTAATGTCCATGTATTTATCATCCATCAATATTGCAACACTTGTTTATTCTCCACATAATCCTAATCTTAGTTTAACATTTTACACTTTGACACCACATGTTTCGGCCCCAAACGGTCATCTTCAGGTGTCTTGACATGTTAAAAATATTTTATTAAATTATCTTAAAACTGCTACACTGTGTCAGTCCATGTTTAAAATCACACACTGTAGTTCTCTTTTCAAGGCAAACAAGATAAAAGCCATTAAAATTTTTATTTAACCAACATTATTTTGGTGCATTCTATTTCATCTCACAAGGGTTGATGTCCATTGTTCATAAATATATGCTTGCCCCTTACGTTCATAGCCTACTTTTCAGTTATGTCTGCAATATGCCCCTGGTTTTTGTGTATCCTCCATAGCATGCGGTGCTGTCTTTACCAGTGCACTAGTAAAGACAACACCACACGCTGTGGAAGAAACACCATAACGGCTGTGGTGTATTTGCTTATGTTATGGTTGTTGCCTATCAGCAGATGTTGTTTCACTGTTGAATGAGTGCATAAGGGGTGGGCCATAATAATTCAGCCCTTGCACTGAAACCTTCAGTGCTCTCTTATGCTTTTGTTTCACTCTTTGTTTGGAAGTTGTTACCCAGTAGTCTCTCTAAATGCTGCAGTAATATAGAGAAACTGTGATGACTGTCAAAAAGATTGATGTTAGGACTTTAAAGGCTAGGGAAGATTTAGTTGCTCCCAAGGCCAGGAACTCATCTAGCATCTGAATTTTTCAGCTGTTACATTTTAGGTGAACTGTTTGCATATCCATATATAACAAGCTGTGGAGGTGATAGTAGTAGTGGTAGGGTAGTGGTGGAGGCAGCAGCAGTTGCTGGTGGTGAATATAATATATGATTTGAAGAATACAGGGCTTATAATTACTTACTTACTTACTTACTCACTCTTGGAGCTGAGCCTTTCTAGAGGAGCCGCAAATTCTGCAGCTACTCGAAAATTTCCCAGCATTTTATGGAACCCGAAGGTTCATTGCCATGTTCACAATAGCCCTCCACTGGTCCCTATCAGCCAGATCAATCCAATCCTATCTCTGTCTCTCGCTCTCTCCCTCTGAGATCCATTTTAATATTGACTACCCACATATGCCTTGGTCTTCCCAGTGGTCTCTTTCCTTCTGGCATTCCCACCAATATCCTGTATGCATTCCTCGTCTCCCCACATTCGTGCTATATGTCCTGCCCATCTCATCCTCCTTGACTTGATCAATACAGGGCTTATAGGACTAGAAATCTGTGCAGTAGGGAAGTGTTATAAATTATATCTGAAACTTTATTGGAAATATAATGTCTGTACCGGAGTATAGTCATTAAAGTAGCTAAGAGAATGAATAACGGTTTATACAAGTGAAAACATACCTCTTCTATTTTATATTGGACAGCGCTAGTTTTATTTATACTTTTAAGTGCATTATCTAGCATGGATGTATTTATGGGCTGTTGGCCAAGATGTGTGTGTGCAAATAAGATCGAGGTAATGTTTTCACAAGGATGAGAATGTGTTTTGAATGAGACATAAGGCACAGCTGACCTATCTTGCATTATATATCTTAATGCAGTAATTCACTGTTGTACTTTGGTTTATGAAAACCAATATTTACAAAACTCTGTACAGTGGGTTGTGTAGAACTTCATTATACATGACATTTCCACTGTAGCTTACTTATGGGCCACAACAGTTGAGTGGCCTATGTTCCTGCTTAATAATTTGGAGACCCTGTGTTGAAATCTGAGCTCGGAGACCAGCTGTCCTGACTGAGGTTTTCATGTTTTCCTCAGTCCCACTAGGGAAATGCCAGGAGAGTTCTTCAAATTAGGTCAAAACTGCTTCTCTCCACATCCATTCCAGACTTTTAAGAAAAACTTGCTGCATTCATCTTTAGGGCCAAAGTGAACCCTGAAGTTTAAGGCAGCAAGTTCCTATGAAATGTTAATATCCATCCACAAGACTAAATGTTGTCATAGCCCTGAAGATATTTGTCTGAATTTTCATTGATATGAAAATCTCAGATCTTATAGAATTATTTTGGCATACTCTTGAAGACATCTGAACAGAATTTTGCATCATCGTCCCCCTCCTCTTCCTTGATACAGGCAAATAAACGTGTTCCAACTTCTCGTATTCATTCAGTTTTTTCAAGGGCTTTTCTGACCTTGGCACCCTGTATAAGAAACTGATGGTGTCCTAACTCAGAAGATGTCACTCTAAAAGACATCAAAACACAATATTAAACAATGCATAACTCCATGGTATGGGGCTTCTTTATACCATTGTGTTTATTCACTTACCCACGAAATTCTCTGCTTTCCTGGAACCCAAAGATTCATCACTGTAAACACGAAAGCATGCCAGAACAAACTGAATTTGGTGAATGACTTCATATCCTATTTATATTAAGATCTGCTGTATTATTTTCTTCTTGTCTGTATCTAAGTCTCGTAAGTGATCTTGACTGTTGGGTTTTATTGACAAATTTTTGTACATTTCTTGTTGTGTGCATATGTGTTCCATGTCCCTCCCACCTGTATCTCTTTGTTTATTGACCCTAATTATATTAGATGAAAATTTTGTTTTTGAAGTATCTCAGTGTGTAATATTTTCAGTCCTTTGATACCTCTTTTCGTTTGAGCTCAAATGTCCTTGGCATATTGTTCTTTAGTGCCTTTTTTTTTTTATTGCTAGTGGGGTGGGACTAAGTCCCTTGTACTGCGGCCACTTCTGGCCTATTGTACCAGCCTCAGATGATAGGTGAGGGTGATTGTGGAGCAATTGGTGGAATGAAGATTGGCAGGGGAAACCAAAGTACTCAGAGAAAGCCTGTCCCAGCGCCACTTTTTCCACCGCAAATCCCACTTGACCAAACCCGGGCTGCTGCGGTGGGAAGCCAGCGACTAACCGCTTGAGCTATGGTGCGGCCCTTCTTTAGTGCCTTACTGTCTGTTCTTCCTTCAGAGTGAGAAATCATATTTCACACCCTTTAAAAACAGTTAAAATTTTAGTTTTATGTAGTTTTTATTTTTAGATTCTTATATAGCATGCTGGAAGATAAAATAATCTGAACTGTAAGTAACAGATGTTCATTAAACTCACTCTGTTCCTAATTTCATGATGAATGTTTTGAGATTTGATGTTCTCACGGTGATGACCACGAAGATTACCGTCTTCAGGAATGTGATGCTCTGTAGTCTGATGGATGTTTACTTGCAAACATCTGCATGGTGTCATATCTTCATAATGAATATTATTGCAGTATGTTGTTATCATTACCAAGTACCTTAACATAGCTATATTTTCAGTTTTTAATTTGTGAGCTGTTTTTATAATGTGATTTTGTACTGAGTTCTGGTGATAAAGACATAAACATATTCTTTGTTTCTCTATTATTTTTCATGATGTCTATTTTTTAACCTAATAAATTAACATCAACACGGGTAGCTGATGTGTTTCACTTATCTTCAACCCCTTCTGATCTAGTCTTTTTGTAGTGGAATATTCTAAAATAGAATGTAAAGGAATGAAAATACAGCATCCCCTTCTTTCTGTCTATGAACTATGAACTTCATCTGGCCTGTGAGCAATAGCAAAATTAGTATTCATTGTGGGATCTATCCCCTTTTGGAAGAGAGTTATGGATGGTGTTTACACTGATTACCATCCGTAATATTAACTCTCAGGTCGCCAGAACTTCAGATTAATAGACAAAATTATCCCCATCTCACTTTTCAGTTACCCTAAACCTGGTGATGTAATGAATCATTTAGGCACATGAAAGTGATGTAATGGAACATCTTTTTCACATAATAATGTAAATTTTCAAACAAACTGAATGTAAATTTTCAAACAAACTGAAAATCCTGAAGCAACAATT